AATTCCTAACAAAAAAACAGTTTTTTGTTCACCCTGAAAAGTTAGGAAAACTGAGATTGGCCATGATGGTTCTTAGGCGACGATATATAATATACATTTATATCCTATAGAATATAGATTATACATACCCTCAAATCCCATTGAGTAATGGCACCATCTTCATGTCCGGTAATGATTGTATGGTCTAATGTACCCCAAATTAAAGAAGTCACTTTGGAATCTGGCACAGTCATTCTCAAAATTGGGGAGCTACTTTCTATAACATAATGATTAATAATTAAATAGGTATATATGTTTAATAAATACATTTAAATAAGTAAAATAGAGACATTTTTCTAGTGTTCATACTTAACATCAATTCCTGCATGTTACTGTCCACACATAACTTACAATTGTTTTACAATAAATCACTGAATTAGTTTGAGTAAATCTTTGAATTCAGAACTTGCAATTCAAAATAAAAATCTTAGTTATTTATTTTAATTTGCTGAGTCAAAATGTTGTATCTTAGATTGGTAAAAACAATAACTAGATTAACTTACTAATAACAATAACTTACTAAAAGATTCGTCATCTCGAGCATCCACTATAAAAATTTCACAATCTTGTTTCATAGCCTGATCTGTTGAGTAGCTGGCGAGATCAGCTGAATAGCTGAACGAGCATGTACGCACTGCCGAATTACTACTAATATTACCGATCTCCACACCTGCAAATACATTTTAAAATTATTCACCTACTTTTAAGCTATTAAATGAAGGTTCAATATATTTACCAGTAGCAACATCCCAAAGCCTTAAGGTATTGTCAGCAGCTCCTGACAAAAATTTTGTAGTTTTCCAATCGACATCAATACACCATACAGCTCCAGTATGGCCAATGTACGTCCCCAGACGCTCTCCGTTCAATGAATACCAAACGTTTGGAGTTACGTCCTTAGCAGACGAGAACAATAAATCACCCTCTCTGTTATATTTAATTTGAGTAATGGCACGCTCGTGCCCTTGTAACATTAAAGGTTTCTGTAAAACAAAATAAAAAAAAAACCATAAATTAAAATATTTAAATAAATTCCTCTTTAAAGACAATTCAAGTAAAAACAATAACCGCCGATCGGCGACTTACCATATTGAACAGGTGAGGGGATAGTTTAAAGTTTTTACTTAAAATTAAAATATCGTGGACCGTAGTTGAATCCTACCCGGAAAGTGTGTTCACCATTGTTATCAGTTATCGCGTTTCATATTTACGGTGAGCTTTGAAGGCGCTTTTAATAAACAAATTAAAAACTAAATTGTTTCCAAAGACAATAAAGAAATTGCAGGGCCCTGCGCGCCATCTTTACGCCAACCGTCCAGTGTTACCATGACAAATTTTGTTAGATTTGAAAATACATATATAATTTGATTTAATTTTTTTTAAAGATCATTGGCGCAATCTAGTGGTTTGCCTCATCCCTATGAACTAAAATAGTACCTAACTAAAATAGTATTGTTCTATGATAGTACCCACTGAACAGCAAAATTGATCGGAGCCCGGAGGACAATTTGATCAATATTGTATAATGTATATGATCTAAAATTTGATCTGACGGGGACAGTTTGACCAGCTCATAAAATTACAGTTTTTGATAAAAAGGTTTAAAATGTCCCCAAGGGAAAAGGATCCAATTGTTCCCAAGGATCAAAATGTCCCCGGAAGATAATTTGATCCGGTGAGGACACTTTGATCTACTAAGAACATTTTATTTTTGAAGAAAAAGGATCAAAATGTCTCCCAATTCCCAAAGGATCAATTTATATATAATAATAATATAAGCCTTGGTTAAAAAACCATCCCCACTCAGAATCGTTTTTCGAATTCCTACAATGATATTAGGTACCTATATCATTGAATTCAAATCACTGGCGAAGGGGGCGCTTATATTTGAAAATGTAATACAAGATTGCTCATAAGTATGTTTACCTTTATCAAAACAAAAATGTCTGCAAGAAAATCAAATTAAATTTTTATGAGCGTTTGAAATTCATATTTTTACAACATTTGATATTCACTCGATTTCTCATGTAACGATTTTCTTATTTTGTTGTAATTAAAAGCGAATGACTGTAGATACTTGAAAATTTCGCTGAATGTTTATATTAGCATTTTCTATACACGATAAAATTTTGAAAATAATTTGACTCTTTTTGAGCTGCTTACATCGTCAGTTTTCAATTTTTTTAGTTTTTTTTCTATAAATATCAATAAAATATTATTTGATGAGTAAAAAATTTTGAAAATTTAATGCAAGGCTCCTGATATATTGTTACAATAGCAGTTTAAAACTATTAAAGATACATTGGCACAATTTTTTTTTTATAAGCATTTAAAGGTCGAATTTTGACAAAATGTATCAAATTTATAATGTAATAATTATTTTGTAGTTAAAAATGTATAAAATGTTCAACTTATATAGCTAAGGATTGAAAATTTAAAATAAGGTTCCACGTAAAAAGGCTATATATAAATTACTTTATTCACAATATCATCAAATATACTTGGTAAAATCATAGGCTGACCAACCGTTTTCGTTCGGAATCGTTTTTTTTATACAATGAATTCATCATTGAATTCAAATTTAACATCATCCATTACAGTGACCCACTTGTAACCTACTGTACAGCAGAGCGACATCCACTTACCAGCCTTTTTTTAATTGAAATTACGCTAAATGCCTGAATTGCTTTAATTATGGTGGATGAGGGCCCAAAAATTTAAAATAGCCCCCCTTCGATGTTTTATCAAAACCACCACTGATTCAAATGTAATACCATCCATTACAGTGGTCAGTGACCCACTTGTAACTGACTGCACAGCAGAGCGACATCCAATTTTTTTTATCTTTCGTATAGTGTGCGTTTGTGAGCACAATAATCGTAAAAATATGATCGCACATTCGCAAGGCATTCTAAATGGGCTGTTAAAACTGTTTAGTGTATAGTGAGTGCCAGAGTGGATCCTGCACGATCTGTGGTCAGTCTTTTTATGTTTAGTTAAAAAAAAAATAATATATATTATATACCAATATAAAAAAATCAATATTTGTCTTTCTGTCATTTAAGCATTCCTAAACGGATTTACCAATTTCGATGAATTTTTTTTGTGTGTTTGTCGTTTGAGTAGTTCCTCGAATGATTTAGATTCAGTAGATTCACAATTGTATCCGGTAGGCCTAACCCGGGGAGGTGCTCGAACAGGGATTCCGGCCTTCGGGATTTACTATGGACATTTTTGTTTATGTTTGTTTATGTTTTAATAATAATAATAACTATATTAAAGCAATAAGCATGTTGGCGCAGTGGCACTTCTATGTATTTTAGTACAGAATTGTTTGAAGTTCGAACCACGGTTTTGGTGGACCAACTTTTTTCATTGTTTTTTTCTTATTTTTACTTTTTTATTTTTCTTCTTTTACTATGCATACGAATGCTTGGTTTTTTTTTAATCATCGGATTTAGTACGGTTAGGTTAGATTAGGATTTTGCATTATATAACTATATAAGTTATGAATGATTGTACTAATCCACCGTAGGTTGAATTAAGTAAAAACGACAAACTTGGTATAATATCGGCTATCGCAGGGACGGACTGGCTATTTTTGGTTCATGGTGCAAAATTAGTTAGATTATGTATATATGATTATATATATATATATATATATTATATATATATGATTATGATTTAGTATATGTTTTTCTTCGACTTACTAAAATTAGGAAAGAGTTAAATTTAAGAAAGGGCCCAACCGCCCAACAGTGATAATCGGGCCCCGGATCATAAATACAAATGGGGGGCCCGGGGTGCTACTTGGTTTACAGTTCTCTGGGCCACTCCTAACTCCTAGGTCCGTTTCACCAGTCCCCCATATTGAAAACTCGGATATTTTTTGCATTCAAAGTTAGTATGCAATTAGTATGAATTGGCAGATTCTTATCATGGTTTGCATAATACTAATTAATGAGAAATAATCAATAATCTTTGAGGGGGCATTTGAAACTTTTCACCCCCCCCCCCCCCCCCCGAAGATTGAAAAATAAAAAATTTTCCGGATTTACGGCCAAAAGGAGTTGAACAATCACAATTTTTGTAAAAATTCAGATAGTATAATAATATAATATGTAACAGTAACAAGCCGGTAAAATATTGTGAATTCAATATATTATACCTATTATGTAAAATAATGGTAATAAACAAAAACTAAAACTATATAAGCAGCTTATAGTTTGTTTTTTGAATTATTATACTTCCATAATATTATTGTTTTATATTTTTAAAACGACGGGGTTTGGCGTTTACATAATATTATTCGTATGTCCAACCACTGAACCACACGCGTTTCAGTGAACAAAGAATACTGTCAAAAACACTAAAAATGCCTTGTTTCCGCCCCGGAACTACATATAGGTACACCGGATAGTCCTAGTTCCTAAATACTACCCCCTCCATGGCTCCGCCTAAATCCTATGCAAGACAGATGGCATATACAGCCTTACAAGTGTGGTACACAGGACATATAGGTACCTACTCGTATTCGTCTGCAGTGTTCGTCCTACCTATTATTACATAATATCCTACCTGAACATCGCTATTCGCTCACGTTATATAGTACTACGTTACACGATCGTCTGGCTTTGGATTTTAATTAAACACACACATGCGTGCCACGATGTGCTCTCTCATGCGTGTTCATGTGTAAAACATTGTGTTATTGTTATTAGTATTTATTACCTACCTACCTGCCTTCCAACCGTGGTTGTGCGTTGTTTGATGTTCACTGGACGAAAACGCGAATGGCGAGGCAAACAGACGTTGCTATAGGGACCGCCGCGAGTTTTCCGGCTAAACAATAAAAAAAAAACAGGCCCCGACGGCGGTCGAGGAGGGGGTCGGGCTTGATCGAGTTAACCAGCAGCTCTTGTACACCTCAGCTGCACACTCGAGGGAAGTTTGTCGAAGGAATGCGACTGTCCGAGTTCAGGTACACCCTGGTGCTGGTCGTCCAGCTGGCGTTGCTCGCCGTCGACCTGTTGTTCAACACGTTCATCCATCGGTACCTGGCCAACACGGGCATTTCCATTTTGCTCTTCGTGTGAGGACGATGAAATATATACTTTTAGGAGAAACGGATTTATGGCTTAATATTATTAATCGACTGTGATGTCGTGTGTTTTATCGCAATATTATAGGCTCCAAGACATCGGTCAGCTGGTCGCCATCGCCGTGTTGCTCATCACGTTCTTCCAGACCAACATATTTCAGGTGACATAATCGAATAATAAAATAATAATAATATATTTTATTAGGGCTGGGAATGTGATTAAGAAACCCAACAAATGTTTTTATGCCCTAAAAATTCAATATTATATGCACTTACATTTTTTGTATTCTAAACAAGTATTTAATTTAATAATAGTTGTACTGCCTATATCAGGACAACACAATTTCAAATTTCACGTCGTAGTCTAAAAAAAGCAAAATTAAAATTAAAAACTTTATTTTGATTTTTGATTCAAAAATACATATGAAACGTACCAATATATGGTATAATAAAACGAGCAACGCACATTGCTTTGGAAAACAATACGCAAACATTTCATCTATTAACTATTTCAAAGTGCATCGAAATCCCAGCCCTATACTTATTGTGTTAACTACCGAAAAGAGCACGTGGAACGCTTTACACAATGGATTTGTCGTTCTCCAGGCCGGTTTCATTGTGCTGCTGTTCAACGAGTTCCGGTCGACCATCATCACTGGCATCGGTTATTTTATACTGACCCTATTCGTGCAGGTGTGGACTCTTACGAACCGTTTCAAGGGCCAGGTGTATTTCTACTGGCCGGACGGACCTTACGTGTTTTTTGTCCTGCACAAGTTCAGTAAGTGTGTTACTTAACAATATTTTGGTCCAATACATATCATAAAAATTCCGATTTGTGTGTTGGACGATAATTTGTAATTAGAATCTACGCATTTTTCGAAAAGCTTAAAACCGTCCGATCAAATAATATTTTGATTTTTGGCTCACATACTTAGTAGAGATTGGTGTTCACTGAAAATGTTGCCTAATGTCTACTGACTATTTATACTTGTCTGTATAGTGAACTTTATGTTTTTCTCGACATAAAATCAGTCTAAATCACAACTACCTATTATGTCTTACCGGATTCATTTAAGTTAACAAATTATAAATGATAAACGGTGTATTAAACATCAGTATCTATCTAGTTTTATAATGAATAAACATTTTTTTCTTTATAGATGATGTGGACATGTATTTCCAGTTAATGGGACTAGATACCACAAAAAATGATTATAGGTGCCAAGATTACCTAAATTTATTCACATATACATATTATTATGGATTAGACTCATATAGTATAAAGCTTCCATTATTTTTATAATTTATAAATATCATTCAGTAGAAATAATTTATATATTATTAATAGTAATTAATATTTTGTCAGTGTTTTGGAAGTTGCCAGTAATTCATATTTACAAGTATAAATTTAAATTCAATTTAAAACAAAGAATTATACTTTAATTTTATAGTCGGCAGTAAACGGTTATAAATCAAATTTAATGCATATATAAATAAACATTAGTAACTACTTAAGATGTATATTGCATAATATATAGAATATAGTCTATAGAGTTAGAGTAGTAGGTACCTATAGAGTACAGTTTAAGATGACAATATTGTGGTATAGAATAAAGGCTTATATCATAGAAGTCATGCTATCCCGGAAGTATATAATATATAATATAATTTAAAATGTAATAAATAATATTATTATAAATTAAAAATAACATTTATTTAACATTATGATTACAGCTTCATGTTTGCATTACTACTTGTACAAAAGAACAGCCCTATGTATATCAGATCCAAAATTTTACACCGATGAATGGATAAACCATCGTATAAATCAAGAATCAGATCAGAGAAGTCCTAAGTATTGATGAATGATGAAATTGGATGAATGTAGTATATTGTTAAGATAGGAAATTAATAATAAATTATGATACAATATCGATCATAAATGGTTGGCAACTAATCAAAATCACATCAATTTACTCATATGGTAATAACTTTTTTTTAATTATAAATTTTATTATTGGTGCCAATCGCCAATATCATAGGTCAGGTTAAGAAATAAGGAAAAAAAATATAACTTTCAAATGGAAATTAACTTTCACAACAAATCTGATGTTTATTAAAAAACATAAATTAAATAAATAAATAAATAAATAAATAAATAAATAATAATTAATAATAATAAATATAGATTTTTAACACATCATAATATCTTATAAATAAATATAAATAAAATATTTTGATCTCTTTTTTTTCAAATAAATATGTTTACTATATTTTTAGTTTTTAGTCTTGATTGTTAAAGACAATCAGTAATTATTATTATAATTTATAAATTAAGGTTGTTTAGTTCCTTCATTGTGCTCATAAATATGGTTGGTAAAATGGTTAAAAGAAATAATATAATAAGTATTTCAACCCTATAAACCAAGTACATAAAGACACACATTTTATGGGAATACTATTGGACTAACATACATGGTCAACTTTACCACTCAAAAATAACTTATAATAAATTATATTGTCAATTCCTTATTAGAACAAAAATAGCCTACCTTAAAATGTTTAAGAGAAAAAGTGCAGATAAATACTATTGTTGAAATAAAATCATAAAAACAAAATTATTCACAAAAATTTGTTGTATTGTTGTTAAAATAAAAATCACTTATCAAAGAAAAATGATCTGATGGATAGGTCATAGAGGGTACTCTATTCTCACCAATATCTATTTCTTTTGGCATGTCTAGTATATTACTAACAGTTAATTTATGTTTAGTGTAAAACATGTAGTCAATGGTATGCATAACTTCGCCTTCGCCTCCACGAATCTTCCAAGAGGTGTACAGCGGTTCTGAGCCACACAACTTATACGCACTATCTAGTGGTAAATAAGGACAACTGCACATAGTACTGTAAACTGGTTCTGTAGGTTCTGCATTAAAATCACCACAGACAATTGTTGGACGGTCAGCTGCATGGGAAGATATGAACTGTAGTAAATCTTTTCCTTGTTCGTTTCGCAAGGTGGATAGCAAGGCTCCTTTACGAGCTTTTAGATGAGTTGTGGAAACACATAATTCTTTTTGTGTATTTTTATCTTTAAGTACCAATAGCAATGACACCTTAAAAATGTACGACATTAAATATACTAAAATAGTTGCGGTTTTTAACATTTTTACTTTACCTGATTGCTGTGGACTGTCCATACTTGTAATACTTTATCGTGTTTTTCTAACAAATCAAACTTGTCATTTTTGTAAAATATTGCACAACCATCAGGTCCATTATTATCATTTATATACACACATGGTGAATCTGGTTTTGGTACAAATATACCGCTATAAGATTGTGTAGCTAGAGCTCTGCTGAGGAAATCAAAATGATCAACTTCCTACACCAAAACAAATAAATAATAAGATTGTTAAAAATTAATTTTTCATATTTTTTAATATTAGGTACCTGTAAACAAATAATATCGGGATTATGTTTAAGAATTTCTTCAAGCATGTGACACCTCCTATGTTTCCATTCTAAAGCTTCTAAAGGACAACTGTCAAATCTATCATTATTCTGTCCCAATGCTGAAATAAAATATGTACAAAAATTACTGTTGATAATAATTATAATGATCACACAGTAAGAGAAATGTCAAACTATCAATAATTTTAGTTACCTTGTGACAAAACGTTCCATTGAAGTACTCTTACAGGATTTCCTTCAACACTGTCTTGGTCTACACAAATACATTTTTTGATTAAAAAGTACAAACATTTATTGCTAAAAGGCAATAATATTATAAATTATTCAATCACACATTTTGATAAGAAAATTAGTTTTTTTATGTTTAAAAATGTAATCTCAGCAATGATAATAATATTATACAACTAGACAATAGTATAATATTTCTATTAAAATTGTAGGCAACTAACTAGGCATTAGATTATAATTTGTTATTAAAAAAAATGTATTTTGTTTTGACTACAGTTAAAATTAAGTAGTTGGTTTAGATAATTAATAAAATATAAGATGCAAATAATTTTATTTTAACTGTTTTTAGTTTTACTCATTAGTCACCAAAAACACTAAAAATAGATTTAGTTCATAAAAATAATTTTACATAAAATAATATTTTTTTTAAATAGTAAGTAGTAATACATAATTAAATGACCAAAACAATAATATGATATAGGAATAATATAAATGGCAAGTATAATATTATTCAAAAACATGTAAAACTAACCATATGGGATTGATGAAAATGTTCTTTTTATGAGTTGTGAGTTAGGCCATTCATTATTGTGAGTACGGCAATATTCGAGTAATTGTTGATAGGTCATATGATTGTCAAACTGTAAGTCTTTGTCTTGGGAATCTTCATTGTCAATTTTCACGGTAGATGTAAAACTTCCCATCCTGCAATAAATTATTAATAATGAAATAATGAGTATAGGTATAAATTTAGTGATCACCTATTTAATTATATTGATCAATATTACTTATAGGTAAATTTATTAAATTGAGCTTAGAAAAAAAGAGTGGTCTACAGGTTTATACAATTGTTTCTATGGAATCAATATATTTACACATAGGTACTACAATATTAATAAACAACCGTGTGGCAAGGAATTTTTAATGGATAAGGTTTAATATGCTATATGCACTTAGAAAAAAATATACGCTCTGTTACTATACACATACCAAATTATAAACAAAAAATATATCTTATTTTCTGTGGAAGACAAGATAAAAAAATTAGCAAAATTTATAATCTAACTATGAAGATCCCTGTGGTTACACCACAGTTACTGTAGACATACTTGACTAATATTAGGTAATTGATGTCTGTCATTTAATCGTTACTTGTCTGGGGGCATCATAAGCATCTGCAAAGCGGACTCTTACCAAATATATTTTAACACAGTCGCCGCTCTAGTCTTGACAGACGCTTTAGACCCGTCACCGTTAACGCTAGAGGAATAGAATTTCTTTGGACCCAGTTTTCGTGGCACCGCAAGGGCGGTGGTGCGCACAATCGGTCTAATCATCGTGTACGAGTTTAAACGTAAGAATGTATAAATTGTGATTTCACCTACCTATGATAATATGACTACTGACCCACCGACATGGCAGAAAAATGAAAAATTAACGTTTACGTCTCGGAACCCGAGGTCAAGGGGCTGTAAATACCGAATACGTACAATGTTTCTTGTGTGAAATTCTCTGCGCACCGCAAGTAGTACATAGTGTCGGAACGCAAACGGCCAAATAATCCGCTATTCGGTAGGACAACAGTTTCCCCCAAGGGGGGAGTGTGCGCGCGCGCACGGTTTCGAGTGTGTCGAGAATAGTAATATCAAAATATAATAATATATAATGCAATAATAATATAGTGTAGTAACAACGATTGCGAACGAGCGAAAACGTGAACAAACAACAAACAACAATCAACAATGTGAAAAACCCGTCCGCGAGAAATATCAATAAAATTAAAACGGGGAAGTAACGAGACGACGTTATCACGCCACGGTGATAACGTCGTCATCGGACGGCGCCGCCAGCCGCGGGACAACCCACGGCATATTATAATATTATAAATATATTAAATATATATTTACATATATGATATATATATATATAGGGAGGTATACGAATGTACAAAATATTGTGTTCCGCGATTGTTCACAGGTTATTAACACCGCCGGGCTGGCGCGGCGAACGGTACCTACCTACCGGCTACCGAGGTAATCGTTAACAAATAACTTATTGTCGCGCCCGTTACCGCGACCTATCCCACGCATAGTACCAGACGCACAGCGGCCGTACGCCCGTACAAGAACAGCCGGAAGTCGGAACAGGACGTAGGTGAGCCACCTCAGCCACAGAACAGCTGCTGCAGGCGGCTTTTACTATAGGCCAACTGCCAAGTTGACAGTTGATCGTTAATGATTGTAGCGAAATTAAACAATATCGGTATATCTACAGTCTACACACATTTAATCTTCTTAAATATTGTCGATGCTTATTTATGCAAATATTATTATATTATTTTAGACTTTAGTGCACATGAATTCATAGATATAATTTTTATTTTGCATGATAGAGAAAATTGATGGGTTAGTCAAAATTTCATATCTAATAGACTCTATAGTATAGAGTACAGACGATATAATATAGACTATATTATAAGAATATTATATTAATACAATGTTTCAGTGTGAAAGTTTATTTAGCATAAACTCTTTCAAAAATTATTTTTTCTTAATAAACATCGTCTTCAATATAGGTACCTACCCATAGGTATAAACATGATAGTGAATTTATTTAATTACTTTATTAGATAGGTAAGTCTTTTTAAAGAATATCACGAAATTAAGAATTTTCAGGGAAAAGTATTTCCCTATTTTTGAATACTTTATAGTATGACCTATTTTTATATGTTTAATACCTACGCCACACTGTAATAGTGTAATGTGAAATTTTTGGTTATTTCGAAATTATGAAGCGTGTGACATTATTTTAATTAATTACCTAATTATATACATACACTACTTTCCTCTTTTTTTCTTTGAGTTCAAATAATATTTGATTAGCTATCATGTTTTTTCAGGGGACTGTGACAATAATTTTTCAGAAATTTACCCAAGCCCAGATTAAGGGGGGCGTGGGGCCTGGGGCTAGTTGATTTAACAAAAATAATTTTTAATGCACACATTAAAAGAAATTTAAAAAAAAAAATGAAAAATTACTAAATAAAAAAATTATAGTAAATTTATATTTAATATCAATATGACATAAAGTTTATAATTATAGGAATTTCAGCAAAAATGGGAGTTAAGAACAATGAGGTTCAATGTATTATGTATGTAGGTAGTTGTGGTTATTGACATATTCAAGTATTCATTATTGATGAATGAGGGTTAACCTATTCTCATGAATTAACAATAATAAATATAATAGCGTCTAGATGTCTAGAAGTTGTTACTTAGGTGGTTTGGGCTACTGGTGACCTTAATAATATAGTAACCTTTGTTTAAAACGTTTAAATAATTTATAATTGTGTATAATATTGCATATACATTTATTACTTTGCTAGCCTTTTTAATTATTTTATTTTAAATGGTATACAATTAGAAGATAATTAAAACATGTTATGAAATAAGAAGAGCTTCTGATATTTCATGGCCCAATGTATCTTTAATCTGAATATATTGGTTTTATACTTATGTTTAAAACCACGAGACGTCGGTACCTGCGGGTATCCGATAATTTCTTCAAATAGCTGTGTAATCATGTTTAAATTATTTGAACATTTAAACAAAACTACCTATGCAAAGGTTAATTTACATAATATGTACCTAAGATCATTTTTTATTAAGAACTACTCACGTAATCGTGTGCTGTATTAAAATATCACATATTCACATGTGATATCTTATGTGACACGAAGAAGACAAAAAATATGCCCTGATTACATATAATAATATAAGTGCACGATATTCCAACGTTTTTTTGTTTCACAAATCAATAAATGCATAGCCCCGATTATTACAAATAGCATTATAACTAGTTATATTATTATAGTTCTTCACCTAGTAATCCCCGACAGTCTCCTCTTGTCGAGTGCGCTCATCTGAAAGGTGTCGGAATATTTGGTCGATTCCACGGCCGGACAGCACGTTAGACAGTGGTCCACGGCTATGGCTGCAGCGTTTTCAGACATGGTGCGATTTATTAATACAATTAAATACAATTAAATGTGTCGACGGTATGTGTGTGTGTGTGTGACGTGTGTGTATATGTGTGAAAGTAGACGAGTATAGAGTATTGACTAAAAACAAAAACGAGTATTTTGCTTTTTAAAAATCCCGACTATGACGCGCACTCGAATAGTCCGGTTGTCAGTATAATATTATGTTATAATTATATAGGTAGGTACGAAAGCTGTAAGCAAGTGTAAACGCCGCGGAAGACTCGCGTTCTCCGCCCGCGTCGTCTCCTTATATTTGATACAAGCGCCGCGGATTCGCCACAGTTATGCAAATACGCGGTTTAACGTGCCTTTTTTGCTATTCATTTTTTTTTTTTTTGTTCTACTCCATTCTAGTCGCCTGATGTTTTTTGTTCACGTTTTCTCTTCATTCACCCGCACACGCGCACACACAAGTCACAATGGGCGCGTGTACCTATAACATTACATTGTAATATGCGTTTACAAAATTGAAAATTATGTTATTATTATCGAACACGCACACCGCAATACCGCGCGTCGACTTGTACCTACGTCACGCGGTCTGAACCTAAATGCATATTATACAGGTTTATCCTGGTCGCGTATTGTAATAACAATAATATATACAAAATAATAATAATATGTATACAATATAATAATAGTAATAATAACAATAATAAGACTTGTTAAATAATAGTATATTATTATACAGATATATATACAGAATGTATCCTATACTGCATACAGGTACACGCAGCCTCCTCGTCGCCGTATCAAAGACGTCAATCTCCTCTCCGTCTGCGGTGACAAACGACGACTGTACAATGGGGACATGGGGTTATTTCTCATTATAATAATGATAATATTACACGGTCGCGCGTGCGGCGGATTACGCGCCTCGCCACCGTCCCAACCGTTAAGTCAGTTCATAATATTGTCATTGTGCGTTAGTCCTGTGGTGACCGTCTCGTTATCGGATTTCCGCCTACGCTGCACAGGCGCACAGCGTACCTGTAGTGTCCACCTACTATTATAGTATTATAGTATGCTCTTCGTCACCCCGCGACATTATAATATTATTATTTATTATGCTAATAACTAATAAGTAATTTTAAATGTACCTATAATATATAATATAATTATATTAATATATTTACGCTGTACGATATACGCGTGTACAACTACTATTTAACTATACGGGTAGAGTATATAATTACAAATCTATTATTAATTATTGTAATATTATCATATTGTGTATTCACTGTCCCACTTATTGCGTGGGTGGCTAGGGACCTAGCCTCTAGGGGCTAACCTCCGCAAACGTATATAGATTTTAGCCACTATGTACAATATTATTTTTATAGTTTTAAATGCTTGTTTGAATTTCTTTTTGTATAAAATGTTTAGATAATAATTAAATTAAAATGGAGTGTAAATATTGTTATGGAAGTCCCCGGCCACTTGCCGTTTGCTTGCATTATAAGTTTTTATGGAGACTATAGCCCTGCCCCTCACCCATAGAAATATAGAATTTTGAGACGAGTTATACCACTGTAGTAGGTAATAACTAATAACTAATACGACTAATAAAATCATAGTAAATCAGACATTTGCAAACACATAATTATAATACAAAGTGATTTACCCAAGTATGATTATTGCCTAGGTACTTAAAAATTCTAAAAATCTAAATTTTAATAATTATATTATTAACGGAAAAAATAACAGTGAGCATGCTTGGTGAATCATTCTGTGCATACGTAGTTGGTCTTAAAAAGGTGAGTATAGCCATTAACAGGAGCCAGAGTTGACCATTGAAAAATCGTGAATTTGTTTTAATATATCGGCTCGCTCTACAGGGCAAACGGCTGAACGTATATGTAAGGTTACTTTTGTCTTTTATATATATATTTATAAATATCCAATCGATCAGAAATATTGTGCAGATGGGAACGGGGAAACTTGCAAGCATATTGGTTGGATGGCTTAAAAGTTACAACCAAAAATTCGTTCAAGTACTTTTAAGTCCGATTTATCGTAGGTATATATGTGACAAAAATATCGTAAAATATTATATTGCCCCCCCCCCCACGATCCACCGCTTATACATCCCACTAGTCTCGTTTTTGTGACAATATTCACTCTTAATCACGATATCATTTATTAAAATTTAAAACCAAGTATTTCTTGTCGCGTATACTGCAGATATACTTGACTGAAACTACCATAGTAAATTTACGTAAAAGTTATTTAAAAAAGTTATTATAATAACTTATATACCTTATAATATTCTATATTAAAACACGTTATTACTTA